TTTGCTATACATACCTAATTGGGACACGCAACTTTCCACCTTCTGACCAAAACAGTACAGTACATATTGCTATACATTTTTGCAACTGTACAGTATTATTTCCACAGCTATTTACAAGACTGCAAACACAACCAGAATATCTTAAGTGCTATAACAAAATTCTCGTACATGAATACATTTGCCCTGTCCCCAATTTGTGCTTGCAGCAGTTTTACCTAGAGAATTTTTTTTTTTTTTTATAATCAACTCACTGGCATAATGTAAGTACTCTGTATTTTTCTTCTATTTTTTAGGAACTAAATCAATCATGACAAGTGCCATGGAAAGAAATCCTTTAAACATTAGGAAACAATTAGGAAATACATTCAATATTTAAAACTGCCTTGCTTTGGATGAAAAACTCATGACTGCAAAAGGAATTACCATACAACACTACTGAGCTCAGCCACAAACTGATGGTAGGGAACAATTACTGTACCATTTGTGATATGATCTATTCCTCTATATGATAAAAGCATAGGTGATGGAACCAGTAAATCTAACACAAGTCTTTTTCTTTGAAGAACTCCAAGTCACATTCCCTTGCTACATCACACTCTGCCATCATGAAAAAAGCTTGAGAAAATGAAACAAAAGCAATTTATTTATCAACCTGTCAACTAGGTATATGATCAGTGGTTTTCTTGTTTTATTTGCTTGTGCAGCATTGTTGTTAGCATCAAGTGACGATCAGAGAATATTTTTCTCATTGTCTGATAGTGCCGTGCATTGCCTTTTGTACATTTACATACACAGTGTGAATGTGTGTGTGTGTGTGTGTGTGTTTTTGTTTGTTTGTTTGTTTTAATTCAAAAGATGTTTAAAGATTAAAATAATAAAATAAAAGTGATAAATTGGTTGCAGGTAGAGGTATCAGGTTCTGTGGTGTGGCTTCCTGATTGTCTACATATTAACATTTGTGTTTTATTCCTTCCAAAGCAAGAGGTGGTCAATATATTCTGTCTGTATAATACATATTCATCATGTTGCAAGACTGCATCACAACCAAACAGTAGAGGTACCATAGATCATATGTCAGTAACAGGATTAGGAGCAAAGATGAAAGGGAGGAGAAAGAAGAAGAAAAGGAGCAGAGATAAAGAAAGACAGGAGGAGGAGGAAAGAGGAAAAACAAGAAGAAAAAGAGAAGGAAAAAAATTAGAGAGAAAGAGAAAGATAAGCAAAAGAAGGGAGAGTGAAGACCTCCCAGATTGATGTTTGCCCTGTCCTTACACTTCTATTTTTCTCTTTTCTTTTCTTTTGAAAACCATAAATCTATTTCAAAATAATATACCTATTCATTTCCTAGACATACCAGATTTTTTTTAGACTGTTTGAACTAATTATTATTATTATCTCTACAATGTTGAAAATTCATCATGAACCGATAGGAAACCAAACGTCCAACTCTTCAGGCAACTGAAAGTGAACATACCTTGTCATAGTTAACAGAAACAATACTGCAACAATTTTTAAGTTCAGAAACCTTGCTTACTATGCCTTATCACAGACAATATTTTCCTTTTTTTTCTTTTTCTCTTATTTTACTTTAAAATGATTTTATTTGAATACCCCTAGCCTATAAAACATTATAACAAGAAAGATGTAAATCAATACTGATAACAGAATAACAATGATAATTATAATAGAGAGAGAGAGAGAGAGAGAGAGAGAGAGAGAGAGAGAGAGAGAGAGAGAGAGAGAGAGAGAGAGAGAGAGAGAGAGAGAGAGAGAGAGAGAGAGAGAGAGAGAGAGAGAGAGAGAGAGAGAGAGAGAGAGAGAGAGAGAGAGAGAGAGAGAGAGAATGATTCAAAGAAAAAAAAAAAAGACTGCAGGAAATGAGAGAAAAGACCAAGAGCAGAGGGAAGGAGGAAAATAGGTGGATGGGAAGGAGCGTCAGAGAAGGGACGACTTCCTGAGCTGGTCCAATGGGAATGTTGCCAAGCAGAGCAAACAATCTCACATCCACTTTTACCTTACAACGAGGGGAAATGAGGGGAGTCTGTAGGTCCAACCAACATGATTCTGAATATAAAGAGGAGTAGGAGTTAAGAATCTAAGCTTTTTTTTGTATTTTTTTTTTTTTTATGTATTTTTTCCCTTCAATATGGACTTATTCTTTACAAAGAGAAAGAGTAAAACTATTCACAGGCAACTGGCACTTTCATTCCATCATTTAAAATTTTTCTATGGCTAAACTATCTCTGTTCTAACCTGATATGCATCAAGGGATTAGCTGATGTCTCTTCTGGGTAAAAGAAACCCATGATGACGTCATCAGCGTGCAAACTTACCCATGAACCTCAAGCTCTTCCTTGGCTGTAAGACCTGATCCCCTCCTTTCCATGATGATGTTTATTTATTCTCATTTCTTCTACTTTGCTGGATTGTTCCTATTCTCTAGTCGATGTCACCAACATCTCACAACAAAACTTTGGATGTCTGTCACAAGTTGGACAATATTCCTAATTCCGAGCCTCATAAGAATGATTCCGCACTACAAGTACAAGTATTTCGTTCTTATTCTCTCCATAGAGGAGAAATGAGTTCCAGAAACATTCTTGCAATCTCAGAACTATTGATAACAGCCAAGAATACTGTTAATGTAGGTAGAATGACCACTCTTTGTCTTCCATTAAAAAATAAAAGTTGTACATAAATACCATTCAAAAAAGAAGAAAAAAAAAAACATGTGGCATTGTCTCTTTCATTTGTATATATGCAACAGTATAAACTGTCTGTATCAATAACTTATTGTGCTTGTCCCTTCTCCCATTACCATTAAAATTATATTAAACCTATTAACAAAACTTCCTAATCAAATGTCTTAACAGCTAGGAATTACATATCTAGGATATCGAGGTAGGGACTTAAGTCAAAAGCTATACAGTTGTGTGTATTATGGCGGGATATGCATATCCAGAGATTTTCCTACGTACATAGAGTAATGCTTGTAAATAAATGCTAAAATATTACCTAAAGCAAAATGTATTTACAGAGATTATTTATTCACTCTACACCAGGCTCCTCTGACTGAATTAATAACTTTAAAAGACATGAATTTTGGAGGAAACTTTTTCTCTCTTTTTCATCTAATCACGTTATTGCTACTATTGGATTGTATTTCTTCCTGAAACTGCAGCACCGTAAAGTTTGTTAGTATGCTTAGTTCAGTAAAAGTGAATTACACAATAATTAGACCCTGGGTACACTTTCAATAGGAGTGAGTTTCTCTTTTAAAAATGTAGTGAAATGACTCTTATTGATGCGTTCCTCAAGGATGACAATTTCTGATCTTGTCTAATTTCAGATGGGCCGAAAACAAACTCACGGTCAAAAGTTACTGACCGGGTGCTTTATCATGTACAAAATGAAGGCAACGAGTCTATTAATATTATTAATATTATTATTATTAATTATTATAATTATTATACCTTTCTGATGTGTCTACCCAAGGCTGAGTGTACCAAAGACACTCTACCATTGCTGCCATTATGCTCCCCGACTAAAAATCGACACATGCAATGAATTCTGGAGTCACAGTTTCAAGGGGAACATTACGCGCCTTGACTACGGCAGGCGGGCGCGTTGGGGCGAGCCACAGTAGAGTGCTTGGCCTCGTACTTACAATGATCTAAGGCACAGTTCGAGAAAGAGCTTGTTACCAAGAGTATTCTCAGTATAAGGCTCAGAAACCAGTAGAAAAGTTGGGAAGGCATATTTTGGAGCAGGCATACCAACCTAATATTAATGGCCAACTCCTGGCCCACAGCAGCCTTAATTGGGGCCAAGTTGTATGGCATTGAGCTCGGGCATCGTGAAGCTAGCAAACAGATACATGGTAGGGAGGACCGTTCTAATATACTGCAGATTAAAACATTCCTCAAGACATGGTAGACAGGAAAGTATTCTTCACATTGACCACAAAATTCCTTCATATTAACAAGCTGGAAAAACTTGCACATGCTTACTGTGCAAAACAAATCTGGTCACTTTGATCCACCATTTCATATAGCGATACTTCATCTCAAAGACTTTTTTTCTTTATTACTGTATTGAAAGGCTGGGTCAAAATAGTTGTACTAGGCTGACACTTGACATCTCGGTGAGTGTGAACTCTTTCCTGACTCTGAAGACCCTGGACTTCCCATAACACGTATCTGTCTTCACTTAACATCGTGCTGAGATGTGCCGCTGTCGCACAGTCTCCAATTATGGCTATGTTTAGAAGAATCCACAGTCACCAGAGTGGATGACAGAACCCTTGCCAAGAGGCTGTGCTTAAAAAATAATGGGCTCTCCTTCTCAGTGGAGCTGCCATCCAGCCATCTCACTGACATTGCTACTTCTGAACAAACCCAACATTAATTGTAGTTTATGGAGGTTACACAAAATGGGAATGAACAATTTGTGCTGTGACTGACAACATAAACTGGAGTATAAAAAAAGATAAAAAAGCAAATATTTGTCACAGTTGAATACTTCTCTGGCTGATTATTACTTATCAAGAAACACTATCATGAATACTGTATTAATGGTCAGACAGCAATGCCTGCTATGTTATAATGTTGTGCAAATCAACAAAAAGCTTTAGAGAACTATCCCTAAAATCAACACACAATTAGTTCATATCTAGGAGTACTGTATTGAAAGATTTTTTTTTTAATATTAAAGCAGAAGTATCACCTAGGCAGACTTATACTTAAAATACTCAGCTACATTACTAACAGAAGGATGAATATCATAGAAGAAACTGTAATCTACCCGCTCAACAAATATCTACAATTTATGGCCAATATACAAGATCACTTGTATTTACATCAAGGATGAATTATACAGTCAATCTCCTTAAACCTAAGTTAAACAATTTGTACAACAGACTTCTATGACTCAACTAAGCATATGAGGCATAAGAACCTGTGCATGAATTGCTGATCAAGAGATGTCTCTTGTTCATCTCTTGCTTCATCTTGACTTTTAAGTACAGTCAACCAGTTGCACAGCCCTTCAACTGGCAATAGTATACAAGAAAAAATGGGTCAGACACATTGAAAATGAGTTAAAAATGCAATGCTAAATGTATTGTTTTCTTAACACGTGCTCTTAACAAAGTGCCAAGCTTGTAGACTTCTCTAGTTCACTACTGCCCTGCTCGCAGGGGCTCATTGACGGCACATCACAATCACCAGCAGCCAGCGTGTTTATACGATGGGGAAGGGGAAGGTTGGGGGAGACCTAGCACTTTGACCACAAACACTTTGCAATCATATGCCACTGACTGTCTATGTTGCTGCGTGGGGGGTTGGGTGCTCACAGAACCTGCTCTATGATAACGAGGAATAGAGGGACGTATGGCCAGCACTCTCATAGCATCCGTCGTGACCACAACTCGACACATAGCAACAGATCGCAGATTGGCTCAGATCCCAAGAAAATAATCAACTTTATTATGAAATAGTACACTGACTGCAGTCATGTAACACAAAGTAACTAAATGAATGTATAAAATGGCTTAGCTTTCGAGCAAAAATCTTGTCTTAGGACTAACACTGTCATTTCCTTTGCCCCACTTAGTCAACCTGGTTGAAAAATTTCTGACTGTAATATGGGAAAGTTTATTTGACTGTAACACATAAACCAGTCATAATTACATGTAATTAACTAGATGAGAAATGGAAGTAGCATTCTGTGACACTGAGGGGTGAGGAAATATTTGAGGAAGCAATGCAGATATGGGACTTAAACACTAAAATCAGCAAGCAAATAACTTTTTCCATATCCTGTTCATGGCTTTCCCATGTTCAACTATAATGTATAATGTCTTGAAAGAATTTATCAATAAATAAAGCTAAAACTAATTCCATTAAATACTGGCAATTAAAAATACTAAAACACTGTCAATGTTGGTAGCTAAGTTGTAGGCAAAATATAACCTATTCAATATGATACCTGCACCAGAGTTCATCACTCGGATTATGTACTTTTCAGCAGCTGCAATTAGCATTTCCTATTATAAATTTAAAGGGTTTTGCAGGTCTTAGTGTAATGTAGGAATGCAATATTGGTTATAATAATACTTTTCTTCTGTAGAACAAACAGTTCTTATTTAAAATATGAATCATTTTCAAACAATAACAAGATATATTAAATCATCTGTTTAGATCTAAATTTACATTAACAGATTAGTTATGTTCCTAAAAATGACTCGATCAGCATTTAGTTTCATAACTAATATGGGGCCACCTTTTGTGAAACTGATTTTATTGATTAAATTCTTTCTTACTCAAATGCTTCGCAGATAACACCTTGTGAGGTAGCAGTTCATTGTCAGGTTTCCTCAGTCCTACAGTCTACTGCTATTGAATCCTACACTTACATACAGGTATCTTTACATACAGGTAGTCATTCTGTCTTTATGAAATCAAATCCATCTGTCGGACCCTTTTCCCCTCACGGTCTGTCTTTCTCTTCAGGTCTTCATTGTAAAATAAGGGCTTCATCTTTCTAATGGTCATCCTCAGGTTCCTTCCAGTCTTCTGAGGCCCATTCAGGCAACTTTGTCTCATACTGCCATCCTGGTCCCTGTATAAGAAGATATTAATGTCAGTTTTTTGTGTAGTAATAAATTTTGTTTTACAAAGATGGAGAATAAAAAAAAAGGGATATCACATCACTGTTGATAACACATTCATGCTATCAATATGCTCCAACATTGTGCTTGCAACTAGACCTTGAAAACACTTACCATGTACTTGAGAGCATGGAGATACATAACAAGGTCTCTAGGCTTAGGGTCACGGTATCTCACTTTGCATTCATAGCAGTGTTCATCGACTGTCATGAGCCGAGGCTGGTAGCCATAGTCTCTGCTCCCCTCACTGGTCTGGGTTCCTGCAGACACAACACCAAGGCCATCACTTCCAACAAGACCACTGCTGCAGCCTGGAATTTTTTAAAAAGGTCAATTCTATCTATTTTTCCCTTGAAGTTGAAAACAAACATGCAAATATGAAAAAGTCATGTTTCTATAGGAAAAAGATATGTAGATTTTGAATGTATGAATTAATATCTATGTTTCTGCATTTCAAAGATTTGTAGATAACTAAACTTGATTCATCATTAACTTGAATCACATATAATTGATTCTATACATAAGCACAATATTTATACACAGAATACCCAACAAGTCAGAAACTAAGTGTTGGGTAATAGATTAGGACAGCAAGTCAGAAACATGATGGCACTGAGATGGAGTTATGCAAAATACCTTAAGAATTTTAATGCAAAATAAATTCTCACTCATAATATAATATGTACTATCTTATAGTCTTCATGACAAATAATTATAATCTGATTACTAACTCTGAAATGTTTACAGGTTACAAGTTTATTTCAAAACATTTCTGACTTTTTTACATCACTTGATCAGTTTTCTAGTTTTATGCAAATATCTAATCCCACTATCAATTGCAAAACTATACAGTGTGAATAAGGCGAAAGGCATGCCCTTAAAGTGCTTATACATCAAACATATACTACGTATGCAAACTCTTCATTTTGCTTGGAGGCCAGTTGCTGCTCAGCCAAAACTTATATTTTACATGATTTTACTGTTTTCTGCCATCACAAATGTTTTTTGTTTTTTTTTAATGAATCAAATAACTTTTTTGTCTTTTGTAGAACATAGTCCATATGTTTTAAACAGTTTACAAATAGGTCTTTCCAACTCTGAAATTATCCATGTTACTTAGCGTGCATATAGTGTAATCACATTATTTTTAGCGTGCCAAGGTAAATGAATTAGATGTACCTTTTCTAGGTCACAAACAAACTGACAAAGCTATGCAATAAACAAAAATCAGTTATGATGAATTAGCTATATCAAGATAACTTTTCATGAGTCTTACTATTCCTATCTATTAGCTAATTAATTAATATTCAACTCTTACCATTTATTGTCTTCGGTGGGACTGCTTCAGCTCCTACCATAGAGGGCTGGATGTCTAGTGATGAAGTGAGGGCTTTGGGTGAAGCATAGCCTGACTGGGCAATGAGCGCAGGGGGAGATGTCACACGTGGGGCATCTGCGGCTGAAGGAGACTTTTCCTTGGGGCTTGGGGTGTTGCGCTGGGATCCTCCTGTAATGGCATGGTCTCTTAAAGGTTGATCTCCTTTGGAATCAGGTTTGGAGAGGTTTTTGCTATACTTCTAATCAATGTCATAGTTTTCTTTTTCATTTTATGTTTGCAGGTTTGAGTGATGTTACTTGTTTGACAAAAAACACTTACTGAAAATTCTCATAATATGTAAAAGATTTATATGTTCTTAAAAAACAAAGGTGAACACAACAGCAAACTTACATAACTAGAATATCCTGAAGGTCAAATTCAAATTAGCAAAACTTACCCTCTTCATCATTGTCTGTCTTCTCACGTCCCTTGAACATGGAGTATTCTGCATCCCCATCCATTCCCAGCCAGTTCTCAGCATTGTGGATCTTGATCAAGTCTTGGATCAGCTGCTCATCTGTCTTGGCAACAATGCCACCTTTGCCCTTGTTGGGCCCAAAGACTGTGTGGTTGTATAGGGGATCGTTCACGATGGGGTAGCCTGCAATTCAGAGGATTTGTCACACAGGGTTATCTGCTGCACCAACACCTGTAAATCTTACCTGATGATATGGAAGTTGGATTTTTTGTTTTAATTGCAAAATTTACAAACAATATCACTTTTAAGTACGCTTAACTGTTTGATAAACAACATCTTTCAATGAAACTTTTTTGCCATTTATGAATAGAAATATTTATATTGAAAAGTTACTATATA